AGCTGCCTTCCTTGCAACTGGTCAGAAAGGGAAAATGCAGTTAGCCCAAATACCTGTTTCCCCAGCACCACTGGCCGCTCTTGCCTGGGAGCAGATGGCATGAGTGTCCAGCTTTCTCCCTCCTGTGTGATGCTTGCATTGCGCCAGCCGCAGCCTGCCCATTGCTGGGGGTAGTTCAAAATGTTCTCCTGAGTCTGTATAGCTTCTGCCAGGCTGCTTGTGGGTCAGTGCTCAAAGATTTGAGGGCTGTGGAAGTGCTTTGGGGCTCAGATTGACTTCCCAACACCCAGTTTCTCATGGCAGGAGAAGGAAGTATCCCCCCATTTGGGGGTTCCCTATGAGTTTAGTGCTGTGCTGTCTGTTCTGTGGTGCCAGGGAGACATTACAGCTTGGAGGGTATAGGCAGCTGTAGTCTAGAGCTTCTGGCAGGCCCAGTGCTGTGCTAGAATCAGCTGTGCCAAAGCCATCAACTGGCCTCTGCATCAGATCCACAGTGCAACTATGAGTTGCTGTGGCCCTGAGTAAGCCTTCCTCTTCCTCCCAGCAAACAAACCAGCTGGGAAATAACGCCCGCTCTGTTCGTTTGTTTCTGGGCTGTGTTCTCCCAAACCTCTCTTTATTGATGGGTTCCATCTCTACTCTGGAGGGAGACGTCTGCTTCCAAGAATCTGTCTGTGGCCCCATGTGGGACACTTCATTTAGTCTCTGACTTCTCCTTCAGGGCCTTTGGATGGCACAGTGCTGTGTTTCCCACTTTTTGCTTTCAGCTTGGATCTGCTTCCCATCCCATCCCCATGTGCCTTCTGCTTCTGCAAGCCTGCACATGCATGTGCTGCCCTCCTGAGTGTGTCTGTCTGTTTTAAAGGTGCCCCCTCGTGCAGAAGAGATCACAATCCCAGCTGATGTCACGCCTGAGAAAGTCCCCACTCACATCGTGGACTACTCAGGTAGGCCCCTCTCCTGCACTCCAATCCAGCTGCAGTCCTCTGGCTTTTCCTAGTTCTTCCCTCCACCTAGACCCAAGCTGTATACCCTATATAGCCCCCACAAGTGCTTCGCCAGGTTTGCCAGGAATAGCCAGCCCAGGAGACATGGAGAATCTGATGGCTCCAGAGGAGGATGATGACAGCTGGGTGGCTCTTTTCCTTTCAGAA